GCCTTGGTGACTAGTTGGTAACCGTCGCCTTGGGGGCCTCGTCCCGTCTTGGGGCTGGTTGGTACTTGATGGTCTCGATGTTGGGCCGGGTTGGTGTTAAGCCTTGTCGCCCTTTCATGGCTGGATGGGGGGTTGAGGTTATTTTCCTTAGCCTCCATGAGGAAGTCTTGATCGCACCCTCGGCTGCTTGATGACTCCCCACTCTTGTCGTCTTGAGGCTGCTACCATCTCATGACACCAAGTCCTCCTCATTAACTTGTTGGTTGTTAATAAGCCGTCTCATCGGCTTGATACCTTCCGGCATGCCACCAAGCCCATGTAATCAACTTGACACCCCTTGCTACCAAGCCAGTCCTGGTGGCTTGGTCTCCATACTTAGTTTTTGTAGCCTCGTCAAGTGGTAAGTTGTACCCTACTGGTTTGGTACCCCGTAAAGGTGCTACCAAGCCCTTTGGACTTTGTCTCCATATGGCCTCATAAGGGCTGAGATCAGCATCCTGGTCGATCCATCCATAGTTGGGTGGCCACCTCAGCTAGTCACCATGCCTTAGTCGAATTTCTTGTCTTGTTGGCTTGATACCCTGATGTCTGGCTATCAAGTCCATCTTGTTGGCTTGATATCCAGACTTAGTTTCTGTATGACTCTCTTAGTTGGTTCCTGGCTTGGCACCCTGTTGCCTGGCCACCAAGTTAGTCTTGCAGGCTTGATACCCCCTTGGGGTCATAGTACCCTGTCGCCTTGCTTGGATGCCAAGCCTGTCATGCCGGCTTGGTACCTTGTAGGGGTCTTGGTACCGAGGTCGCCTTGCCCTCCCGGTACCCCCTTAGCTCCATACTTAGCCAATTTTTATATCTTTTGGTATCAAGCCTACCTTGTCGGCTTGATATCCCCCCTTTTGCTTCATACTTAGCCAAATTATATATCAAAGTACCAAGCCCTGCTTTGCCGGCTTGATACCCCATCGTTGACATCCGGTCATTTGGCACCCTGTTGTGTCACCTTATTTCCAAGACTTAGTTTTTGGATGACCTCCTATTTGGTACCCGGCTGTTTGGCACCTCGTTGTGTCGCCTTGTTTCCAAGACTTAGATTTTGGATGGCCTCCTATTTGGTACCCGGCTTGGTACCCGGCCGTTTGGCACCCCGTTGTGTCGCCTTGTTTTCCATACTTAGCCAAATTTCTTACTTGGATATCAGGCCTGCCTTGTCGGCTTGATACCCTCTTGTTTGGCCCCCTTATTTGGTACCAGGCTTGGTACCCGGTCGTTTGGCACCCTGTTGTATCGCCTTGTTTCCAAGACTTAGTTTTTGGATTACCTCCTATTTGGTATCCGGCTTGGTACCCGGCTGTTTGGCACCCCGTTGTGTCGCCTTGTTTCCAAGACTTAGCTTTTGGATGGCCTCCTATTTGGTACCCGGCTTGGTACCCAGCCGTTTGGCACCCCGTTGTGCCGCCTTGTTTCCAGACTTAGTTTTTGTAGGCCAAATTTCATACTAAGGGGTGGAGGCATCTTCCGGCTATGGGGGCCTCAGAGACGGGTCGGCCATCGTATAGAGGAGAAGGGGGTTGGCCACTTAGACCCAAAAATCTAACCCAACTAGGCCCAGCTGGCTCTTTTAATCATTAATGTTGAGCTGGCATTATAAATCCATAATCCCCTTGTAATTAATAAATGTGGTACAAGCTGATTTTTTTATGGGTAAACAGATATAGTAAATTTTAATTGGGTGATCGATTTCTTCCCTCGTTGGTTTCTGTTTTTCTATGCAATGTATATGTAGATTTAAAACAAAGGACGATATAATGATAGCGTAAATTATGTGTGATTAACCAAAATTGATAGGGCATTAGTTTGAATAAGAGAAGCAGCAGAAGTTACCGAAATTCAACTAAATTTTTGTAATGAAAAAATAAAAATCTGGGATAGCCTAAAAAAACCCCTAAGAACGCCTTCTCCTCTCTCATCTGGTTGTCCGTCCCCGATGGACGCGGTCGTCAATCCGATTGGAAGCAGTACTGCTCCAGTCGGGAATGATGATTGCTCCTGGGCTAGCTTGTTCGAAGTTGCAAAAGAAAATCAAATGGATCAAATTTCAAAACAAGTTTCGACTTCCTGATGAATTGAAGAAGTGTGGTGAAGAAAGACAGGTGATTGCTTGATTGGGCAATTCGCCGGTACTACTCCAAAGGTAAGAATGCTTCAAGACTAGGCAAACTCTCTTTGGGGTAGGGATGGAATTGTTAGGGTTTCTAGGTTCGGATCAAAATTGTTGGTGTTTCAGTTCCATCCCATCGGTGGCCACAAGTCAATGGGTTTTCAAATCTGGTCTGTGGCATTATCAGGGGAATCAAGTGTATTTTCGTAAATGGGTAGCAGGCATTCAACCGGTAACCCCCAAGGTAGAAACTCTTCCACTCCTTGGAAGGGTTGGAATGGGTTTCTAGTACACTAGGGAAACCTCTCTAGATGGATCAAACCACTAGGGTGAGGCTGCAATGGCAATGGGGTTTTGCCAAAGTGTGTGTGGAATGGATATGTCCGCGGATTCTGGTTTTCCTACTACAGTTCGTCTCTATCCTACAAGGATTCTTCGTTTGATGTTGGTCACAATTTTATTAAGAAGACTCTTTCCAACAAAAGATGGGTTCCTTCCCAAGTTACTGAAGGAAAAGGATGGGAGCCTGGACACCACTGCCTTGGGCGATGACCATTGCCCCCTCGTCGACGGTCGACGCGTTGGTATCGTCTGGACGAAGAGGAGGCGGAGGAGGTGGCGGAAGAGATGGAGGCTGAGCCAGTGATGACTCGATATTTACACATGTTTTTGTCCACCATTCCTGTATCGTTTGTCTCTCATCTCTCGTGTTTGAGGCCGATTTCACGCTAAATTGTTCTTGTTTGTGATATTTCAGGTCCTAGTACGTGAATGAAGGTGTGGGCACGAGTTCGGGGTCAATTGGATGAAGTTGGGACGTATGACGAAAAGTTGGAAATTCCACAAGGGCAGACCTAAATTCCACACGGCTGTGTGACTTGGCCGTGTGGAATCCCATTACGCGGCCAAGCCACACTGGCCGTGCATGGGACCCCTTGTGGCCATGTGGAAAGTCCAAGGAGCTCACACGGCCAGACTGGAAACCCACACGACCGTGTGCCTCTGGCCGTGCAGCGTGCCTGAAGTCCACTAATCGAAACGCGGCGTTTTGACACTCACACGGGAGACTGGAAAGCCACACGGCCGTGTGGTCGGGAAATTCTGGGTTTTAACCAATGTTGTTAGAACCGAGCCGGAGCATGATCCGGTAATGCGAACGGCTCGCACTTTAGTGGTCCAACCGGCATTAGATCGTTTAAAAACCGTTAGAGAACTGGTACCTAATAAACATTATCAGTATAAATAGTGAACATTTCTTATTCAGAGCTCTTCTCTTTCCTTCGAAATTGTGAAATGGAAATAAGGATTCAGTTTGAGAGCTCGACGTTTTTGGTTTATTTCAATTTTCAATTTTCTGCAATTTTTTTAATTAAATTTAACTGCTGAATGGCAAAAACCGGACGAGCGGCTCGATCGGCTCAAGCGGTTAACCGCCTCGGCCGCTCGTCAACCGTTACATAAAACCAGAGCGGCTTTTAGACTGTTCCGAGCCGATTTTATGACCAGGTGGCGGTTTTACTGGTCGAGCCGAGCGGCTCGGTTCGGCTTTAATAACACTGGTTTTAACCCAATTTCTAGCCAAAGGAGAGGAGAGCTGGGTTTTTGGATCCCAAACACCCAAGGGACGAACCAAAGAGAGAGAGAGGGCAATTTGAGGGCATTCTTGGCGTGGAATTGGAGGATTTATTCACCTTGGAAGCTCGAGGAACAAGCCGGGACTCGAAGACTGATCATCTGAAGATTCTTACTGCAGTCTCTCTCTTCTCTATGGAGTACCAGGCTGCGGCGGAGGTGGCGGAGGAGGTGGAGGATGAGCCAGCGGCTCCACCTGAGGAGGACGAGGACGAGGGAGGGCAATCCCTGTCAGAAATGGTGGTCTTTCCGGAAGTGGACCTGGCGGACGAGGAAGAGGCAGAGCCAGCGGCTCCACTGAACGAGGACGAGGCTGCGCCGGACGAGGATGAGGGAGGGAAATCCCTCTCCAAAAGGGTGGTCTTTCCGGTCTCCCGGCCATGCTACTGAAGAAAAGTCGCTCAAACAGACGACGGAGGGTGAAGATAGAGTGAACTGGAGAGATGGGTTTTCTCTTTGACGTCCATTTAACCTAACATGGCATGCTCGCAAGGAGGAAACTGACAAGGCCATCTCTGCCGATGGAGGTTGAGGAGATGGCTGAGGAGATGGAGGCTGAGCGAGTTGCTCCACCGGAGGAGGACCAGGCTGCGCCGGAGATGGCGGAGAAGATGGAGGCTGAGCCATCTGCGGAGGACCAGGCTGCGCCGGAGATGGCGGAGAAGATGGAGGCTGAGCCATCTGCGGAGGACCAGGCTGCGCCGGAGATGGCGGAGGAAATGGAGGTTGAGCCAGATGCTCCATCGAAGAAGGACCAGACTGCTCCGTAGGTAGTGGAGAAGATGGAGGCTGAGCCAGTTGCTCCACCGGAAGAGGACCAGGTTGTGCCGCAGATGGCGGAGGAGGTGGAGGCTGAGCCAGCTCTCCACCGGAGGAGGACCAGGTTGCGGCGGAGGTGTCGGAGGCTGTGCCAGCTGCTCCACCGGAGGAGGACCAGACTGCACCGGAGATGGTAGGAATAGATGGAGGCTGAGGCAGCTGCTACCGGAGGATGACCAGACTATAGCGGAGGTCGCGAAGAAGATGGAGGTTGAGCGAGCTGCGGAGGACCAGGCTGCGCCGGAGATGGCGGAGGAGATGGAGGCTGAGCCAGCTGCTCCAACGGAGGAGGACCATGCTGCGGCGGAGGTGGCGGAGGAGGTGGAGGCTGAGCCAGCGGCTCCACCTGAGGAGGACTAGACTGCGCCGGAGGTGGCGGAGGAGGTGGAGGATGAGCCAGTGGCTCCACCTAAGGAGGACGAGGCTGAGCTGGACGAGGACGAGGGAGGGCAATCCCTGTCAGAAAGGGTGGTCTTTCCGGAAGCGGACCTGGCGGACGAGGAGGAGGCAGAGCCAGCGGCTCCACCGAATGAGGACGAGGCTGCGCCGGACGAGGATGAGGGAGGGCAATCCCTCTGGAGGGCAATCCCTGTCAGAAAGGGTGGTCTTTCCGGAAGCGGACCTGGCGGACGAGGAGGAGGCAGATCCAGCGGCTCCACCGAACGAGAACGAGGCTGCGCCGGACGAGGACGAGGGAGGGCAATCCCTCTCCGAAAGGGTGGCTTTCCAGTCTCGTGGCCATGCTACTGAAGAAAAGTCGCTCAAATAGACGGTGGAGGGTGAAGATAGAGTGAACTGGAGAGATGGGTTTTCTCTTTGACGTCCATTTAACCTAACATGGCCTGCTCGCAAGGAGGAAACCAACAAGGCCATCTCCGCCGCCGATGGAGGCTGAGGAGATGGAGGCTGAGCTAGTTGCTCCACCGGAGGAGGACCAGGCTGCGCCGGAGATGGCGGAGGAGATGGAAGCTGAGGCAGCTGCGGAGGACCAGACTGCGCCGGATATGGCGGAGGAAATGGAGGCTGAGGCAGCTGCTACCGGAGGATGACCAGGCTGCGGAGGACCAGACTGCGCCGGATATGGCGGAGGAAATGGAGGCTGAGCCAGATTCTCCACCGAAGGAGGACCAGACTGCTCCGTAGGTAGCAGAGAAGATGGAGGCTGAGCCAGTTGCTCCACCGGAGGAGGACCAGGTTGCGCCGCAGATGGCGGAGGAGGTGGAGGCATAGCCAGCTGCTCCACCGGAGGAGGACTAGGCTGCTCCGGAGGTGGCGGAGGAGGTGGCTGAGGAGATGGAGGATGAGCCAGTTGCTCCACCGGAGGAGGACCAGGCTGCGCCGGAGATGACAGAAGAGATGGAGGATGAGGCAGCTGCTACCGGAGGATGACCCGGCTGCAGCGGAGGTGGCGGAGAAGATGGAGGTTGAGCCAGCTGCGGAGGACCAAGCTGCGGCGGAGATGGCGAAGGAGATGGAGGCTGAGCCAGCTGCTCTACCGGAGGAGGACCATGCTGCGGCGGAGGTGGCGGAGGAGGTGGAGGCTGAGCCAGCGGCTCCACCTGAGAAGGACCAGGCTGCGCCGGAGGTAGCGGTGGAGGTGGAGGATGAGCCAGCAGCTCCACCTGAGGAGGACGAGGCTGAAAGGGTGGTCTTTCCGGAAGCGGACCTGGCAGACGAGGATGAAGCAGAGCCAGCGGCTCCATCGAACGAGGACGAGGCTACGCCGGACGAGGACGATGGAGGGCAATCCCTCTCCAAAAGGGTGGTCTTTCTAGTCTCCCGGCCATGCTACTGAAGAAAAGTCGCTCAAACAGACGGCGGAGGGTGAAGATAGAGTGTACTAGAGAGATGGATTTTCTCTTTGATGTCCATTTAACCTAACATGGCCTGCATGCAAGGTGGAAACCGACAAGGCCATCTCCATTGATGGAGGCTGAGCCAGTTGCTCCACCGGAGGTGGACCAAGCTGCGCCGGAGATGGCGGAGGAGATGGAGGCTGAGGCAGATGCTACCAGAGGATGACCAGGCTGCAGCGGAGGTGGCGGAGAAGATGGAGGCTGAGCCAGCTGCGGAGGACCAGGCTACGCCGGAGATGGCGGAGGAAATGGAGGCTGAGCCAGATGCTCCACCGAAGGAGAACCAGGCTGCTCCGTAGGTAGCGGAGAAGATGGAGGCTGAGCCAGTTGCTCCACCGGAGGAGGACCAGGTTGCGCCGCAAATGGCGGAGGAGGTGGAGGCTGAGCCAGCTCTCCACCGGAGGAGGACCAAGTTGTGGCGGAGGTGTCGGAGGCTGAGCCAGCTGCTCCACCGGAGGAGGACCAGGTTGCTCCGGAGGTGGCGCAGGAGGTGGCTGAGGAGATGGAGGCTGAGCCAGTTGCTCCACCGGAGGAGGACCAGGCTGCGCAGGAGATGGCGGAGGAGATGGAGGCTGGGGCAGCTGCTACCGGAGGATGACCAGGCTGCAGCAGAGGTGGCGGAGAAGATGGAGGTTGAGCCAGCTGCGGAGGACCAGGCTGCGCCGGAGATTGTAGAGGAGATGGAGGTTGAGCCAGCTGCTCCACCGGAGGAGGACCATGCTGCGGCGGAGGTGGCAGAGGAGGTGGAGGCTGAGCCAGCGGCTCCACCTGAGGAGGACCAGGCTGCGCCGGAGGAGGTGAAGGATGAGCCAGCGACTCCACCTTAGGAGGACGAGGCTGAGCTAGACGAGGACGAGGGAGGGCAATCCCTATCAGAAAGGGTGGTCTTTCCGGAAGCGGACCTGGCGGACGAGGAGGAGGCAGAGCCAGCGGTTCCACCGAACGAGGACGAGGCTGCGGCGAACGAGGACGAGCACGAGGGAGGGCAATCCCTCTCCGAAAAGGTGGTCTTTCCGATCTCCCAGCCATGCTACTGAAGAAAAGTCGCTCAAACAGACGGCGGAGGGTGAAGATAGAGTGAACTGGAGAGATGGGTTTTCTCTTTGACGTCCATTTAACCTAACATGGCCTGCTCGCAAGGAGGAAACTGACAAGGCCATCTCCGCTCTCCCTCCCTTCTCTCTCTCTCTCTCTCTCTCTTGTGCGGCAGACTGGAGGTGAAGCAGCTGCAGAAAGCAGGTCGCAGAGGACGGTGAGTAATTATCCAAAACTTAGCGTGTAACAGGAACAACCTGCAGCATTTTTATTTTCAGTACGTTTATGGGGTGTTATTTAATTTTAGACTGTTGGATGCTTGGACGCCAGCTTGATCGACCATCGGACCCTTTGATTCCCCACTAATTCGTAATGGTTCCAGCTGGGCGGGAAATTAAGCGCACAACTTTTGATTAATTAATTATGAATAACCCAAAATACTTAATTCCCCTCAATCCGCCTGCCGCTTCCCAAGTCCAATCTATCTTCCAAAATTTTCATTAAGTAGCCATTAATTAGTCCATTTGGATTTGTAGTATGCGAACCTGGGGGCTATGGAAATTATGTGGAAACTTTAATTCCTTTCCCTTCCCTTCCCACCGTAATCAATTCCTTCGAATCTACGCGGTGCATGCGCGCGGATGGTAGATGAATTTAATTGCATGCATAATATATACATGATTGTCCCGATTTTCCTTCTCTTTGGGCTAATAATCCGCAGATCAACAACTTCTAATTGGTTAATCCTTCATATCTCTGTCTTTGCTAAGAAAATATAACACCTCAGTCTAGAACTCTCCATCTCATCATCTCAGCCATTCATTCAACTACTTGATCGAAATTCACACCGTCGATTGGAAATGCAATACAAAAACCCTACCTTCCCATTCCAGTCGCCGAATGGCTTCCTCTTTCTTTCCCTGTCTGCTGTCACTACCCAGTACGTACGCACGTATTGCTGGGCTGGCTGGCAGACTGGATTAGAGTACTGGACGATAATAGCATTAACCAGAGGAAAATCAACCACAGCAATGTGGACGGCGACGGACCAACAGAAACAACACTAGCTACTAGCTAGCGCAAGAAAACAAAAAACCCATCAGCTAAACATTTATATGTATTGTGACGTTAATCGAATAACAGGCCTATCAAGAACCCAATCTTTCTTAATATAACAAAACATATATATAGAAGTGGATAGCCATGTTATACACAAAAAGACTGAAATCAAAACTATTGACTATTGAGCCTTCATCGCAGCAATACTAAATAAAGAAGTAGTTGGCAGACTTATTTGAAAGGGGATTATCGATCAGCTAGCTAATCGGTTTGCTTATTTACTTTCCAAGTTGTGGTATGATAATACCTGAAATGAAAGATATATGACTTTTTTTTGCTTATTTACTATTCAAGCGGCAGGGAGTATGATTATTGATTAGTCTCACCTCATTACATGCATGCCTTGAAACCCATATGTGCTAATCATCGAGAAGGATGTATTTCCCTTCGTAAATCACAAAAAGTGATAAGAAAATTCTGGCGGTTGTATAATTGAAAAGTGGTAAGGAAAGCTAAATTTGAAACTAAAGGAGTCATTGAGTCAAGGATACAATTCTGAAATTAACAAACCATAACATGAAACTTGGATGGGTAATTATATAGATCTATTGAAACCGGAAAAGACACATTAAAACTGAAAATAAAATTAATGGTATTTATATAGATCTATTGAAACTGGAAAAGACACATTAAAACTGAAAATAAAATAAAATTAACAAAATTGCAGCATTAGAGCATCGAACACCGACCAAACCTCACTTTGTCAAAAAAAAAAAAAAACACCAAACCTCGGGACCAGTATTTTAAGTACACATCAGCTTTACTTTGATGTATACGAAATTTCCCGGGGTTCACTTTTATGGTGCGCTCTGCAGCGAGGCATTCCACAGGCTTTAGAGACCCAGTTTGCTAGCTCGTGTTTATGTTGCAGTGTGATTATAATTTATATTCGAAGTTGCATGCATGATGATCAACATTCCCTAGCTATAGACACATGTCTAGGCCAAGTCCACTTTTCTCTTCTTACCGCGAATGGATCCACTTCAAACTGAGCAAATTTCACAGTCTTGATAGCTCCTGTAGGGATACATCATAGGGCTGGCTATTTGGTCCCGGACTGTTTGATTTTACGCGAAACCGGACCATATAACTCGGACCGGGACCGGATAGTAAACAATGCAATCTCATATTCGGGCTTAGATTTGAGGTAAAAAAACCCGATAAGAGACCCCCAACACCTAAAATCAAGATAAAATTGGGACCGGACCAAGTCAAGACCGGACTGTATCCAATCCAATCTTTGGTCTTTATATTCCCGAAAAGACCGGACTGGAACCGGATCAATTTGGTCCAATTTAACCGGACCGGACGTATAGCCACCCCTAATACATCACTCAAGGAATCCATGACCTCAACTGTAAACACAAACGAAACCATTACTATGAAATTTGACTGTGATTCTGGGGTGCATTTTCTACTAATTTTGGCCTCAACCAAAGTTCATCAACACCGGATTCAACACTTTTCGACTAGGTCGATTGTTTTGTTTTTTAGGTGCGGATCGGATGAAATCGGATCTAGTTTTTAACAAAATTCACACATGACTCAACCTGTCAATTACAAAAGCGGGTAAAACTCGCTCCCGATCCAAATTTGGTGAACATCGGTTTAATTCACTTTGACTGATCGAATTAGGTCGAACACCCATGGAATTGAGTTAAATTGTTATAAAAGAAAATAAAAAAAGTTTAAATGAAATACAGAAGAAACTTAAATACAAAAAAATCTTAAATGGCACTTAAATAGTAGCAAAGGCAAGCGAGGCGAGTTTTTAACAAATCCATAATATATTGTTTCAAACTAATATTTGTAGAAAGGTGACTAACGACGTGTCAGATGTGTTGTCTAAGTATATGACGTTACATTTAGTCGAATTACGTACTCTCAAATAAAACTATTGTGTATTTTGCTTATGGATATATATTGAGGACTTGAAAAATACTGAAATAAGGATTATTATTATAATAAATTATTATTATTATTATTGTTATTATAGAATATAGAGGCGATCTAAGCAAGAAGAATAACATTGAGATTAAATTTTATAAAAAGTGATGCCAAAATCTTAATAAAACTATTGGTGAATGGATTAGATACTATCCTAACTATGGTTATCACGTTGGCCGACATGCCACCGATTCAACCTGGTTTAACCGATGTCAGTTATCAAACTAGCATGATATCATCGGTATGATCGATCTATGAATTTTTAAGTAAAATGACGTCGTTTTAGTGAATTTAGAGAATAAAGAATAGTTTTGACTACTATTATTGGTTATTGTGTTGTGCAATTTTCATTAGATATTGGTATGACAATTATTGTTAATATCCATTAAATATTGGGATGCACAATATAAATTATTAATTGTATCAAAATCACAAATTATTGATACAATCTTACTAATTTGTTATGAACTTATTATAAATGTTAGTCAACTTTATTAATAGCTAGTTGGAGAATTGCTTTTGCTAGTTGACGTTGTGACCGAACCGCATCAATCCGCCACCCACCCAACCCACAAAAGTATATGGATGGATTGCGGGTCACAATTATTCCAACTCGCTAGTAAACGGGTAAGCCAATTTGAAAGCAAAATCCACCCAACCCGCCCATTGCCCACCCTAATTTGCATTACACTGCTAATGGGGAGAACATTCTATTATGCCGCAAGTCGTCATTTCATATATATATACAAATTAGTCAAATACATATGAGGTGTAATTCATATATAGGTCTTTACATGACATGATTTTAAGGTAATAAAAGTACTGAAAATAGATCATTTGATTTCACCTTCCAAATTCCCCTACGGAGCATCCTAGTAGTTAGGAGAAATAATTTGGTACTCCCACGTAGAAACGATGATTTGGTACTCGTCCTGACCAATAGAAAACGGCTTGATTCAACTAAATCAATTATCAAATCCTAGTGATTAATTCCAAGAAACTAATTATGTGTATCTTGTGAGGTTATTTAAGTTAAGAGCACGTAAGCTTCCTTGGGTCAGCAATTTATGGCCAATCACGGATAGTCGTGACCCAGCCTTTCGACTTGTTTATCAACTATCAAGTAAATTCTTCCTTTCCTAGACTAGGTGTTGTTTGACAGACACACATAGTGACTCGTGAGTCTGGAAAATTCATCTAAATTCCTATTGTGGTATATGGTAATTAAATGTAACATAGCTAGCCACCGGCCCCTGAATCACTCCGAGTTAAATAGAGTTACTTCCCAGATGGCTAGAGGGAGGTTAATTTATGAATATTTATCACCAGGACAGATTTGTCAGTTATGAAAAGTTAAAAACTTGTCATTTCCACCTCATCTAAATTTCCACTGATTAGCTTCATTACATGCATGATGCATGCCTTAAAAGTTGAAACCCATATGTGCACATCATCGAGAAGGATATATTTCCCTTTGTAAATCACAATCAAACACAGAAAGTGATAAAGAAAAATCGAGTCATTTGGCAGTTGTATATTAAGGTTACAACCAATGATTGTTATACATGAAATTTGCTAGTATAGTTAATTTAAAAGTGAAATTCATACTTTGATTTTCAAAACATAGATAAAAAGTGACATTTGCTAATTGCTATACCCTAACCATATATCCTATACTCTACACCACATACATTGTACCCTAACCACGTACCATAAACATAAATTAAAAAGGGATCTCCTGCCGTTAAAGACTTCAAATGACTTCAAGTGAACATATGTTAATAAAAAACTTAGAACCGTCAAAACCATCAATATCTTATACCCTAACCATATACACCCTAAACCATATGTACCTTATACCTTATACCCTAACCATATACTTTATATCCTAAACAACGAACCGTCAAAGATTACTTATCAAGTTTAGT